CAGGAGGGGAAGACCCTCTATGAGGTGGATTGATTCAGTGACTGGGGTAATCGGGATGGGTGTGACAGAGACAGTGCGATTGGCACAGGACAGAGCAGGGTTTAGGGCTGTTGTACATAGGCTCGCTATGAGTCACAAGTGACTGGATGGCACATACAACAACAACAACAGCCCATCTGCTCACACCTGAGGCTGAGTCAGCTCCGCTTAGCGCTACCCTGGCCTTTCCACCTGGCCCTCTTCACTGCCCCGAGGTGTTAGGCTTCCTGTGTCCTGCAGGGGGTGCTGTGCAAACACAGCTCTTTCCCCACGTGGACAGTACACACGTGAGCAAACACAGGTGACAGCACACACCAGAACCACGGCAGGGGGACACCTCAGGTGCAGGAGGGAAACTGATCCCTGACCACAGGAGGCCAGAAAGGTGCCCCCCTTTTGGACCTGCTGCTGGTGGCCCCGGGCAGCATGGGCACAACCCCAGCTCCTGTACCTCGAGTGCCCCAAGTGGAGTCCGGGTCTGCTCCAAGGGGGACCAGGTTCGCGTTCTGGAAGAGAGAGAGAGAGTGATGGCAGTGAGAGGCGGGCAGGGGCTCCTGCGGTATAGTCCTCTCCCGGCCTGGGGACAGACAGGTGCCAGCATCACGGGAGCTTCAGATGCCCACCTCTGGGCGAGGGTCTGCAGCCCTGTGTCCACGTTCCTGTTGACCCTGCCTACGTGGGTCTGGAGCTTGGACCTCCCTGTGGACAGTGACAGGCTGCCGTGAGACCTGAGGCTGTTCTCGTGGGATTCAGGTCAGCTAGAGGTAACAGGGAGCTCTGGGGGACTAGTGGTAGAAAGTTGAACTGCAGTCTCAAAGGTACATTGTTCAAATCCACCCATCCTCCTCGGGAGGAAGATGGGAAATCTGCCGTGTAATTTACAGCCTCTGCAAACCGCCGGAGGTCAGCTCCGGGTCAGCTCCAAGTCAACAGCACACAAAACAGACGCACCCAGGGGCCGGACTCTGCTGTCCAGGAACTCGAGCCAGCCCAGCACCGTCGGGGCCCTCTGCCTGCAGGACGTCCAGGCACCTGAGCCCTCGCCGGGGCCTGGAGCCCTGTGAGACCTGGTCCTCGGTCCAGGGCCACCTGCAATGACTCACAGCTGTTCTGTGTGTCCAGGCCCTTGCTCAAGCTGTAGGACAGGGACCCCTGGAGTCACTCTGTGTGTGTCACATGGTCATGTCTGTGTCCAGTCCCTCACTCAGGCTCCCAGAAGTCACTGTGTGTTCTGTGGGAGGGAATATGCCAACCTGTAGGCACCTGAGCACGTCCTACAGAGTGGCTAAGACCCTGGGGACATTGGGGTATGTGCTGAGGGTGCCTGAGCCTGAGGGTCTGGCCACCTGTCCCAAGCCCTTCTCCTGGGCTGGTGGAAGCATGTCACATGGAGCAGCTGAGACCCCAGGGGGGATACTTGGGGATGACCAAAGATGCCTGAGCCTGAGGGCCTGCCTGGCCACCTGTCCCAAGTCCTCCTGGCCTGACGACAGCATGCAACACAGCTGAGCCCCTGGAAGGGACGCAGGAGCCTGGCAGGCCACTTGACCCGTGTACCCCACGCCTGTCCTGACACCCCTCCCCTGGCTGAGCTGGTGTGGCTGCTGCATTGTACATGTCACTCAGTGACTGTCTCTGAGGCTTCCCACCTGGGTGGACGCCCTGTGCCTGAGGAGGGTGCCGAGAGCCCCATGCAGATGGCTCGGCCCCCAGGACCCTCACAGCTGACCACATCCTGTGGCACTCTGCTGACCGCCCAGCCTGGTTCTGTGCCTGCTGTCCCTGCTTCCCGCGAGCCTGCACTCTGACCCGCTGGTAGAAATCATTCCCTTCAGCCTCGTCCCAGCTGCCAGCAGCAGACTGGCCCGGCTCTAGGGTGGGGTAAGTTTCACTGGATCTCCAGCTGCACTCCAAGCTCGCGTTCCCAGCCAGCCAGCTCCATTACAGGGCACTGTGCTCCCAGCGGCCAGCTGCCATGTCCATGAGAAGCGAGGGACAAGAGTGAGAGGGGGCAGGGAGACGCCGAGGGAGACCTGAGCCCAGGCCAGGCGGAAAGTGGAGGAGCTGGACCCCAGGAGTCGGACGAGGGTCAGACAGGGAGGTGAGCTGTGCTGGGGGTCTGCAGCCTGGCCTTGCATACCACTGGATAGTTTCTCCATCACGGTCTCTCTCTCTGTCTCTGTCTTTCTCGCTCACTCTCCCTCTTTTTTGCATTAATTTAGAGTTTTAAAACTTCTGAGTTAAATACTCATCTTGACCCAGTTTCTGGACATCCTCGTATTTTTCTCACTGGGGACGCAGAGCGGGAGGCCTCTACGACCTCTCAGAATAAGATGTCCCCACGGAGCTTTTAAAATCAGGCTCATCAGTGTCTGTCCAGCCCAGTGGTGGTGCTTTCTCCTCAGGGTCCCTGCCCTGGTCAGCGCACACCTCGGTGTGCAGCCGGACCGGCCTCCACTGACTGGCCTCTGACTCCCCATCTTCCTGGACAAGACATGGAAGGGAAAAGCTGCCTTCTAGTGGTCAGACTCACTTCACGGCATTTCCACTAGCCTTAGCCACGTGGGCACACAGGTCTGCCATGTGACCTGGGTCTGACCACTAGGAGGCAGCATTTCTGTGAGGACGGTGAACAGTGAATACAGAAGGGAAGGACTGGTGCTTTGAACTGCTTGCTGCCTGGTGGATCTGAACTGACAACCTTTGGTCAGCAGCTCAACACGTAACCTCCTATGCCACCTGGGGTCCTTTTTAAGAGAGAGTGGGACCCTGCTTTTTATAATATTCACGTGGAAACCACACTATAGAGCCATGGAAAGAAGGTGCAATTGTTATGCCATTGTCTTCACTTACCTTTACAGGTAAGAGCTTTTCTGAACACTAGGAAATACAGAAATGTAACGCAGCCAATACACACAGCCAGTCAGAGGAAGCTGGGATCTGGGCTCAGGACGTGGGGTGGATGTGTCTGAGGTCATTCAGCATTAATGTGAAAGTATCAGCCTGGGACCTGGGCTCAGAACTTGGGGTGGACGTGTGTGAGGTCATTCAGCATTAGTGTGAAGGTGTCGGCCTGGGATCTGGGCTCAGGACATGGGGTGGACATGTGTGAGGTCATTCAGCTCTAGTGTGAAGGTGTCGGCCTGGGATCTGGGCTCAGGACATGGGGTGGACCTGTCTGAGGTTCAGCACCTGTCTGAAGGTGTCAGCCTTCTACGCTGAGGGTGCGTTTGTAGACAAATACACAGTCCTTTTTTGCAGATGTTTTATGGAAACCTCCTTTTGTAGAGATGCAATTATCTTCATTTACCTGTTAAGTCTGCTACCTGTACTATTACGTTTCTGTAACTGAAACCCAATTCAACCAAGACCCATCTGACATCAGCAGTGACGTCCCTTATTCCTCAGGCTCTTCTGAAGCCAGCTTGAATTTCTGGAAGTTCCCAGCCATTTTAAAATAATCTCCAGAAAGACTTTCCTTGCATTTGATAATTTCCACATTTTGGGGGTCATCCTTTTTGGGGACGGGAGCATGGACCTCTTCCAGTCAGTTGCCTGGGTAGCTGCCTTCCTAGTTTCTTGGCATAGACTGGTAAGTGGCTCCCAGGGCTGCACTGTTTACTGAAACACCTCAGCTGGTCTCCATCCATTCAGGTCCTGGGCCTTTCCTTTGGCCAGTGACTTCAGTGCTGCTTGGAGTTCTTCCATGAGCCCCAATGGCTCCTGGTTATATGCTACTTCCTGAAATGCTGTGGTGTCAACCAATGCTTTCCGGTACAGTGACTGGGTATTTCTTCTACCTTCTTCTCTGGTACTTCTATGTTACTGGTGCATATATGTTTATGTATGTTATAACTAATTTATAAACAATATTAATAATAATGGGTGACTGGAATGCAAAAGCTGTGAACCAGTAAGATGGATCAGTTGTTGGAAAACATGACCTTGGTGACAGAAATGAGGCTGGGGATAGAATGATAAAATTCTGCACAGTGATTTATTCATAGCAAATACCTTTTATAAGAAACATAAATGCAGGATAGTCACATGGATTTCACCTGATGGTATGTATAGGAATCAGATAGACTACATCTGTGGAAGGAATCGTTGGAGACATTCAATATCAGCAGTAAAAACTAGATCAGGTGCTGATTGTGGAACAGATCATCAACTTCCCATGTGCAAGTTCAAATTAAAGCTGAAGAAAGTTAAATCATATCCACAGGAATCAAAATTTGATTTTGAGACTAACCCCCCTGAATTTAAAAACCAACTCAGGAATAGGTTTGAGGCCCTGAACACTAATGAACGAAGACCAGACGAGCTGTGGGAAGATATCAAGAGTATCGTTCATGAAGAATGCAAATAGTCACTACAAAGAAGAAAATACCAAATGGATGTCAGAAGAGGCTCTGAATATTGCACTAGAGCGCCGAGAAGCCAAAGCAAAGGGAAGAAATCAAGAAGTTAAGGAGCTGAGTAGATGTCAAAGGGTAGCTCAGGAACACAGGGCAAAGTATTATAATGAAATGTGCAAACAACTGGAGTTGGAAAATCAAAAGGGCCAAACTCGCTCAGCATTTGTTAAGCTAAAGAAACTACAGAGCAAATTCAAGCTACAAATTGGAATACTTAAGACAGAATATGGAATGATTCAGGAAGCATTAAAAGAAGATGGAAGGAGTACACAGAACTGGCTGACACAGAAGAATTTAAAGAAAAAAACATACGATCAAGAGGCAATGGTGAAGAAGGAAGATGTTCAGGCCACTCTGGAGAATTTGTCAAAAAATAAAGTCCTAGGAATTGATGGAATACCGATTGATATATTTCAACAAACAGATGCTGCCCTGGATGTGCTCACCAAGTTGTGCCAAGAAATCTGGAGGACAATTGCTTGGCCAACTGAATGCAAGAGATCCCTATGTGTTCCCATTCCAAAAAAAAGGTGACCCAACAGAGTGTGGGAATTATTGTACAATATCACTAATATCACACACTAGCAAAATCCTGCTGAAGATTATCCAGAAACAACTGAAACAGTACATTGACAGAGAACTATCAGAAATACAAACTGGGCTTAGAAGAGGCCGTGACACCAGAGACATAATTGCCAATGTCAGATGGATCTTGGCAGAAAGCAACAGAAGAATGTCGATCTTTGTTTCATTGACTATGCAAAAGCATTTGACTGTGTGGATCACAACAAATTGTGGCTAACCTTGAGGAAAATGGGAATCCCAGAACACTTGATTGTGCTTATGTGAAACCTATACTTGGACCAGGAAGCAGTCCTCAGAACAGAGCAAGGAAACAAATACTGCATGGTTCAAATCAGGAAAAGAATGTGTCAGGCATGCATCCTGTCTCCATAACTTTTCAATCTCTATGCAGAACAGATCATTCAGGAAGCTGGGCTTTATGAGGAGGAATGTGGCATCAGGGTGGGAGGAAGACTCATCACTCATCAACAACCTGCATTATGCAGATGACATAACATTGCTTG